CTGAGAGCTTAAAAGGGCTATAGTAATAAGGGATGTGGACATTTCAATAGTTATGATGTAATTATGATGCAATAATATACTACTTTACAAATAAGTAGAAGGAATTTAAGTAATTGAACAATTTAAAAGGAAATATACACATCACTTTATAATAACTAAATCACTCCATGCTGGTGAGTTAGGAACTTTGAAGTTTGTGTGTGTGCAGTCTTGTTGAGAGGGAAGAATGACTTCAGTCAGTAGTTCTCAGCACTGAATTCACATCACAATCACTTGGGAAGCTTTAAAATATAATAACACTGATGCCTGGGCCCTGTCTTCAGAGACTATTCTGATATGGCTGGTGCTTTTTAGCAACATTCCTGTTGATTTTGTGTTTGTTTGTTTGTTCGTCCAGTCAGAATTGAGAACTCATAGATTTGTGATACCATAGATTTTAGAGAAATAAATTCAACAACAAATACATTGAGTATGTATAGTATGCCAGTCACTTGCTACTTTCTACATATGCATAGTTGGATAAAATAAGATTTTTCTTTTTATAAATGAGTTTAGGATCTAGAGGGGACACATATATGTGAGATATCACTACAAATTATAAATAATTATATTTCAGAAGGAATGTTCCATGAGTAATAAGAGTAATATTAAGTGTTGAGAAAATAATGACGTAGGCTTGATCCATTTCTCGTTTCCAAAGTTTTAAAATTATTATTTCTTTACACACTTTAATATTTGCTTTGCCAACATAAATTCTTGTTATAATATTGCCCTTTTTCATAGGAGTAAAATCTAAAGACTCATTTACAGAATAGGATAATATGCTGTTTGTTACACTTTTCCTATGGGTTACTTTTTACTTCACATTTAATTTTTTTCTTTTCACTTACGCATTCTTGTTTACCACCAAATACTGTATACCGTATTTTACTGACAATTCAAGGAGTTTAGAGTTTTCAACTCAAGATGCCCTCAAAATTGATTATTTGTTGTGGCTCAGCTGGTAAAGAATCCACCTGCAATGCGGGAGACCTGGGTTTGATCCCTGGGTCAGATCCATCCCCTGAAGAAGGGAAAGGCTACCCACTCCAGTATTCTGGCCTGGAGAATTCTATGGACTGTACAGTTCATGGGCTTGCAAAGAGTCAGACACGACTAAGTGACTTTCAGTTCACTACTAGCACAACTGTCATTTCAGAAATCATTAAACAAGCTTAAAACCTGCATTCAAGGGACTTCTCTGGTGGTGCAGTGGCTAAGACTCCACATTCCCAATGCAGGGGGCCTGGGTTTGATCCCTGGTCAGGGAACTAGATCCCACATGCCGGAACTAAGTATCTCACATGCTGCAACTAAAGACCCATAAGCTGCAACAACGATCGAAGATCCTCCATGCTGCAGCTAAGGTCCAGTACAGCCAAATAAATTTAAAAACAAACAAACCATATTCGATCTTGACATTTTCTGAGAGAATATACTTTATTTTGTAAGGAATATTTTGTTTTTCCTTTTTCTCTCTCTCATTTACCGTTTTTAAAGGGAAGAAATATCCTGTTTTCTACATTCCCTTATGAAATGTATTTAAAATTCACCGTTAACAATAGAGATTAAAGTACAAGTCTCATGCAAAATTCCAGAAAACAATTATTTTTAACTCTTAAAAACTTATGTTTAAAATACCTAGTTTTATTGTTACTTTTACGGCTTAAGTTGTTACTTCTCTAAGCCTTCTATTGAAGCAGCACCCCGGGCTGCAGTGGATAAAGTGGTGATAGATGCTGTAACCCATGCAATCCACCATAACAGGAGCATTCTATGCTCTTATGTTTTAAAAGTCATATTTACTATTTTTTTATATTACTTAAAATTTTAAATTAAATTATATGGCTTTGTTTTTATCTCTCAGACATCAGATAAGTATGTATGTCCTGGACTTAGTATGTCTCCTGTCTGGGACTTTGATCTCATACTGCAATTTGAAAAATAAAAAAAAATTAAACTTACTTTCTTAAGGAAAGACAAGTGGTAACATTTTTTAGCCTTATAAATATTAATTAATGTAGTTAAAAGAAACTGACTTGATAAATTGAATTTGTCCAAATGGATTATTGTAGTTGATGTGAAATTTTGAAAATCTTCACACGAGGTGAATTCTGCTTTGGTCCTTACTAACACAAGGCCTGGAAAACTACTCTTGTGCCCCAAGCTATATAACCTTAAAGTGTAACCAGTAGGCTTCTCTGGTAGAAAAGAAAATATTCATGTTTGGCAAGCAAATAACTACTAGAACTAGAAAAAAGATACTGAGAAATGTATATGTATAATGTTTTATACATAATAATATAAATTTTATATGTAAGGTCTTTTTTCTGTTTTCCATGCAATATCACTAAACTTCAGAACTGAACTTTTGTTGCCTTAATGCTGTATATAGTCAAAGTGCAGTTTGCATCTTCTCTTTCTTCTGTTTCTGTGCTTACTACAGGTGAATAAAATATGGTTCTTCCTTCAATGATACAATATCTAAAATCTAATCATATAATATGCATATAAACGTACAAAAGTAAAGTTGCAGAGACATATGGAAAGTACTATTATGTTATCAAGTTTTAAACTGTGTATTAGAAAATTGGCATTTTAGCTTTTGTCATCTTAAAATCCTATGTCACATAAGTGTTTGATATCTACTTATGTCTGAGAAAGGATGACCAGGACAGTTAGAAGTGGCAGAAGAGCAAGATAAACTAAACCCATAATTTTTTTTGTTTGTTTGGGCTCAGAGAACATAAAATAGTTTCCCTTCCTATGGATGGGAAAAAAGAGAGAAATAGAGATCCTTCCTTTTTGTGTTCTCTCTTTAGAACCAGCTATGTAACTGGAGCCAGCTCCAGAGATAGAGGTAGTTCCATCATTAATTGTCAAACAACTCCATCAGCAGCTGCACGGCTATAGCAAATACTAGAGCCAGTTCCAGCAGCACCTCTGAGCCAGAGCCAGGGCCTGCAGTAGCACTGGATAAAGGTTGGTCCGTGTGTAGATCCAGAGCCAGCTAGCTTACCAGCTCCTTTTTAACACCCGCTCTGGCTTCAGCTCTAGAGGTGACATCAGCTCCAGATCTAGAGTTGTCTAGAGTCATTTCTCTCAGCAGTTCTCACACCAGGCCTGACACCAGTGCCAGAATTAGAATCAATCCCAGAACCAGAGCCAATTCACAACCAGTTCTAGCACCACTGTCTGAGCCAGAGTTGGTTTGGCACCAAATCCAGAGAGAGAACGAGTCAACAGCACACCTAGTGCCAGCTTCCACGCAGTATCCAGCACCAGCACCAGAGATGGAGTCTCTCCACAGCTAGAGCCAGCTCGGGCACCACTCCTGGACCCATCCTTCAGCCTGAGTTGGCACCAGCTCTCAGGCCATCCTCTGGCTCTGGTGTGACTCCACCTCCAGAGCTTCCCTTACCCTCCTCTGGAATGGCGTCTTTTTTATTTTTGTAGTTTCACCTTTGTGTTTCATATATTTTGTGGTTTGCTATATTTTAATTTTTCAGTTCACATACAATAATATTTTTAACTTATTAAAAATGCTGTTAGTGATTAAAGGGTCTTGTATTTTTTCAATTTTCCTGAGCCAATGTATGTACATGGATGTTTTCTAATATTTTGCAGCTGTCCTTAAATTTTGCTAGATCTCTTGTCCTTCTCAACTACTCATTTTCTAATCTTAAAAATGTGAATGGCTCCCAAGAATCAGCCTAGGTCTTCCTGTTTATTCTTCTTTGGAGACTTTCACTTAATGCTGTGCCTCAATTAATGCAAAATATATGAGGATAGCAATAAGCCATTTTGTTAAAATGTAGAGAAAAGTGTTGCTTATAATTGTTTTCAACAAAAATTATTTGAAAGGTTTAATAAATTCATACGATGCAATAATCTTGTCATTTTGATAAAGGTTATGGCAGCCAAAATACAATGTGCTCAGACTTGTCTGACTCTTTGCGACCCCATGGGCTGTAACTGCCAGGCTCCTCTGTCCATAGGATTTTCCAGGCAATACTATTGGAGTGGGTTGCTATATCCTTCTCCAGGGGATCTTCCTGACTCGGATTGAACCCGAGTTTCCTCCATTGGCAGGTGGCTTCTTTACCACTAGTGCTACCTGGGAAGTTTTTAAACACAATGGCTTTGCTGAAAACAGTCATTTAGGCTTTTATTAGATCATTCCTGTCCCCAGACTATCACCTCCCTGTTTCCAAGTTGTTGATTCTGTCTCCTGGGGAAATATAGATTCATGATTTGTTCTATTTCTTCACAGATCTACTTAGAACAGAGAATATTTACAAATCAGTTACCTACTTTGGGGGACCACATTTATTCCCAGCATGTGTTCAAAGCTTTAAAAGGGAACACGATCAGGAACAGAGTGAAGGAGTGACATGGAGACTATGTTTCCAAAAGCCATATTCATGGCCAACACTTAATTAGTAGAAAATCATGGAGGAAAACTCTATAGATGGGTGGCATGACTGATCAATAAGGATTTTTAATAAAAATTTATTAGGCAAATATTTATTTGTAGTACCATTGAAAGGGGTATAATCTTTAATCTAGAAAATTTAAATTGCCAGCTATATTAAAAAGACCAAGAAAATTGAAGTCCCTGGGATAAATTAATAAGCAAAAAGCTCTTTAAAACATATTCTAAATATGCCATAGAAAGAGTGTAAAATAAGCAACAATTTACAGTCACAGTGAGGATCTGTTCTTGTGACCTCACTTTCTATGTCAGTCTGCATCACTGGGAATTCAAAAGCACCTTTTTTAACTAAGCAATAAAGGATTTCTTTTAAAATTTTCATTTCTCAGAAAATAGCATTTGTTAACAATAGATTTAGAAATAATATCACGTGGAAGTTATTAGCATCTACATGATCCTTAAACCAGATGTTAACTTTCATTTACATGCTCATTTTTCTTACACGTGGTCTGCTTTCTCCTTTTAGGAATGGCAAAATTCTATTCAGAAGAATGCAGGACTTGCATTTATTGAGCTCATCAATGAAGGAAGGTAATTAATTGTACAGTATTTAGTTAACTAGTCAGTGTACATTTTATTCCACTGGGTAACTGCTCTTTTCCTGCCATCTGTTCCAAAAATACATAACAGTATAACAGTATATTTTAGTTAAATGATTTATCACAGGGGTACTTGTACGTTAAAGGAACAAAGTTTAAAATGTCTAGCAATTTTCATTTGGGAAAGGGGAAGCAGGTATGAAATAAAGGGACAAAGTCTGTAAGATTTTTGTGAGATCTGAGCCATGTCTTACCAAATAGTAAAGTTGTTTTACACAGATCAAGTGAACTCAGTCTGCAGTCCCATCTGCTGCTCCATCTGTTTTCAAAGCCGTCTTCAGTGTTTACTCCTTCAACCCATCTCAGTTCATGTGAAGTAGTTTCATTCGACCATGTCATGCTCTCTGCTATCCCTAAAAATGTGAGAAGTTAAATGTAGGAACTATGATGGTCTGGCTAGGAACCTCTTTATACCATGGTTAAAATGATGTTATGGTAAGATTTATGTTTGAGCTCATTATTGCATTTATCACTTTTGTGGTAAACTGTCGCTCATTATGATTTTTCCTATACTTTATTGGCAGTGAATACACTAAGACAGATGTACAGACAACATTCTGACATGTACCGCTTCTATTAGCCAAAGACTTGCATCCCTTACAACTTGAGTTTCATCTGTGACAGAGTGCATTCTTTGGAAAATAATGCCTGAAGATTTGGCATAGTCTGTGTCTTATTTGAAACCATATTTAATTATATTAATAAGGAAATAATTTTACTGTATATAATACTTACCTTTATCAAAAGAGGTGTCATGAAAGTATTTTACAGGGTAGTCTTTGAAACCTATGTTGTATATGCTATAAATACCTATTTTGAAAAAAGTTAAATACAATTTAGTATTTTTTTTCCATCAATGTTTTATATTCTGAGAAATAGCCTCAGTTTTTACAATTCATCTTACTGTGCATTTCTCACTTAGATATTTTATGATTGAATAATTTTTAGTAATACAACTCTTAAATATTAAAATGAAATTTGCCCTACTGCCAAGCAAAATATAGAGGAGAATATTAATTTTCTTTTATAGCATAATCATTTTAAACATAGTAATATACTCTACTTCTTATAAAGCTTTATTGTGAAAATAATTGATAATAATTATTATCCATGTTCAGGCAATGAAAAATAGAAAAAAAAATTATTTGTTCAGGCAGTTCATTGTCATATGAGTTATAAAATCTCTCATTTCACATAATGCTAGTTGTGCTAACTCATTTCAGCTGTGAAGGAAAAAACAAAAATTATGCCGTTACCAGTAGTACTGAAGAGTTATCAAATTGAACCTCCAGCTTGTAAGATTAAAATTATAGTTATTTCTTATAAAAGAAGAAGAGTGAAAATTTTGGTAATAGAGATTTTTACCTTTTGAAACTGTATTGTTATTCATTGGTAGTGTTTGGCATTTATTTTATTTTAGGGAAGGAGTTGGAATTATAGAAAGTAGTTATAATTAAAAAAAAAAATTAATCCAGGAAAACCTCTCAATGCTCGTCATAATATTCTTTGTGCCATTTTAAATTTGTTTTTCCATTTTTATACTAATAGTTTCTCCAGTAAAACTGATTTTGGAACAAATAGCTAGCTATAAATATATAACCACATGTCATATATATATATATTAACATAGCAAATGACTATTTAGCACCTACTATATACCAAACACTATTATGGGCACTGGGAATAGAGAAGTGAGTGAGACAAACATGTTTCCAAATTTTGGAGGAAAGACAAACAGACTAGCACATACAATAACACAAGGGTGCTGTGATAGGGTCGGATGTCACAGGTACTAATCTGAGAAGAAGGCAGAGCACTTAACCTAGTCTGAAGGGGTGCATTCTCCAGTTGGTGGTGGTGTCAGGGTTTTCAAAAAGTGCATCCAAGCAAAGCCAACACCATGAAACAAAAATAATCTTTCCAACAAAAGATGATGGAACAACTGGACATCCAAAAATAAATGCAGACACAGACTTTATACTCTTCACAAAACTTAGCTCAGCGTGGATCACAGACTTAAATGTAAAATGAAAAATTATGAAACTGATAGAAGATACAAAGGAGAAAATCTAGATGACATGTTTGGTGACGAGTTTTTAGTTCTAAAACTAAAGGCATGATCCATGAAAGAAAGAACTGATGAGCTGGACTTCATTAACATGAAGAACTCCTGCTCTGCAAAAGACAGTGTCAAGAGAATGAGAAGAAGGCCACAAACAGAGGAAACACTTGGAAAAGACATGTCTAGTAAAAGGCTGTCATCTAAAGTACGCAAAGGCCTCTCGATGAGCCAAAGACCTTAACAAGTTCCTAAACAGAAGATGTACAGATGGAAAATAAGCATAGGAAAAGATGTTCCACATCATAGGTCATCAGGAAAACAGAACTTAAAACAACAGTGAGATACCACTACGCACCTATTAGAAGAGCCAAACCCCAGGACCCTGGCGACACCAAGTGCTTCTCAGGCTGTGGAGTGACAGGAACTCTTGTTCTTCACTGGTGGGAATGCAGAATGGGACAGCCACTTTGGAAGACAGGTTGCCATTTTTTATAAAATTAAACCTAGTCTTCCCAGACAATACAGTAGCCATGCTCCTTGGTACTACCCAAAGGAATTAGAAACTTACATTCACACAAAAACCTGCATGTGGATGTTTATAATCATTTTATTCACAATTTCTAAAACTTGTAAACAGCCAAGATGCACTTTAGTAGGTGAATGGATAAATAACTACCCATTTATTTATCTGATGCATCAAGACAATGGAGTATTTATTAATTAGTGCTAAACAGAAATGAGCTATCAAGCCATGAAAAGACATAAAGGAAGTTTAATTGCATATTTCAAGATGAAAGAATCCAATATATGAAAAGCTACTGTATGATTCTAACTATATGACATTATGGGAAAAGGCAAAACTGTGGACACAGTAAAAAGATCCGTGGTTGCCAGGGCTTAAGGGGAAGCAGAGATGAATAGGCAAAGCACAGAGGACTTTTAGGGCATGAATCTACACTATATGATACTGTAATACTGGATACATATCATTTTGCATTTTTCCAAACCTTTATAATATACAACACAAAGCGTGAATAGTCATGTAAACTGTGGACTTTGGATGACAATGCAGTCAATTAATGTAGGTTCACAATTTGTAACAAATGTAACCACTATGATGGGGATTAGTGATAATGAGGGAGAGGACAATGAGTTGGGGAGGACATCTGGGATATCTCTGTATCTTCTGTTCAAGCTTGCTGTGAACCTTAAACTGCTCTTAAAGTTAGTCTGTAAAAAGAGTGAAAGTAGGAGGCCCCATTGTCAAAAAAGAATGGCAACCCACTCCAGTATTCTTGCCTAGAGAATCCCATGGACAGAGGAGCCTGGCAGGGCCCATGGGGTCCCAAAAAGTCAGACACAATGGAGCGCTCATCAGTTGGTATAGTACAGTAAACAGAGCACCATGTTAGTTGAGAACTGAGAAATGATTAGGACATGGCTAGATGAAAGAAAAAAAAAAGTAGGAATAAAATTCTGGACTGAGGGAATAGTATAGTGCAAAAACCTATTGGTGAGAGCCAGCAAGACGTGTGGCTGGAGAGCTCTTCTCACTCACGCAAACAGCTGTTGCAGCGCGTATTGTGTGCCAGCCACAGAGAGGCCAGGGTCATCCCTTTATGACAAAAGTCCTACCATGAAGGGGTTTGTAAGTAGTGCTGAGGGTGCAGGAGAGTAATGGAAGAAGTTTGGCATAATCTGCAGAGTGACAAATGGGTTTCTGGGGCTGGAAACTGGAAGCGAGATACCTGTCGGAAATTTCAGAATCTCGTTGAAGAGAATGTTGTCATAAACCAACTAAGAGTGGCTATGAGGATAGAAGAAGTGGACAAGTTTGAAGTAGCTGGTGGCTCAGGTGATAGAGAATCCACCTACAATGGGGGAGACCTGGTTTTAATCCCTGGGTTGGGAAGATCCCCTGGAGGAGGGCTTAGCAACCCACTCCAGTATTCTTGCCTGGAGAATCCATCTCATGGACAGAGAAACCTGGTGGGCTGCAGTCCATGGGGTCACAAAGGGTTGGACAGACTGAGCGACTCAACACACAACAGAACAGTTAGAAATTAAATCTATAGAACTGCTGATAGATTGGATAGTAGAAAGGACAGAAGGAATCATGGGTACTTTGCTTTCTTGTTTAAGAGCTGGGTAATTTACAGTAAGTGTAGTTTACTTAGGACAGTACAGAAGGAGAGACGTAGGTTGAGTAAGAGATATTTTTATTTTTGGTTACACTGAGTTCATAGAGCTTCCCTGATGATGTTAATGGTAAAAATAAATAAATAAGTAAATAAATCTGTTAGGGCTTCCCTCATAACTAAGTGGATAAAGAATCTGCCTGCAATGCAGGAGACCTGGGTTCGATCCCTGGGTCGGGAAGATCCTCTGGAGAAGGAAATGGCAACCCACTCCAGTATTCTTGCCAGGAGAATCCCATGGACAGAGGAGCCAGCAGGCTATAGTCCATGAGGTTGCAAAGAGTCAGACACAACTGAGCATGCAATCACATGCTCTGAATTCGTAGCACCTGTGAAAGTTCCAAGTAGAAATGTTAGATTGATGTCTTAGATTTTGGGTGTCAGGCTTCGAAGAGACAGCTCTTGTCATTTAGTCACTTGAGTTGTGTCTGGCTTTTCTGACCCCATGGACTGTAGCCCACCAGGCTCCTCTGTCCTGGATTTCGCAGGCAAGAGTACTGGAGTGGGTTGACATTTCATTCTCCAAGGGATCTTCCTGACCCAGGGATCAAACCCACGTCTCCTGCATTGGCAGGTGAGTTCTTTGCCACTGAGCCACTTGGGAAGCCCAAAGAGAGAGCTCATATGGAGATTTAGATTCAGGAGTTCTCAGCTTGCATGTGGTCAATGGGG